TCTTGAGTCTTGACCAATAGTTTGACTAGGTACTATTAGATACTATTAAATAGTTTTACTAGGTACTAATACTATTAGAAATTATGTACTATCAGATTTTTTTTTTTTTTTTTTTTTTTTTTGAGACGGAGTCTCCCTCTGTTGCCCAGGCTGGAGTGCAGTGGCACGATCTCAGCTCATTGCAACCTCCACAATGAGTTCAAGTTATTCCCCTGCCTCAGCCTCCTGAGTAGCTGGAATTACAGGCACCTACCACCATGCCTGGCTAATTTTTGTATTTTTAGTAGAGATGGGATTTCACCATGTTAGCCAGGCTGGTCTCGAACTCCTGACCTCGTGATCTGCCCACCTTAGCCTCCCAAAGTGCTGGGATTACAGACATGAGCCGCTGCACTCGGCCTCAGATTTTTGAAGGCATTATTCTATTGTCTTTTAGCTTTGATTGTTACTGTTGAGTAGTCCTATACTATTCTGATTCCCAATCCTTTGTATTTTTATCATCTTTTTCTCTTTGGAATCTTGTGGAATCTTTGTCATCCATGCTATTCCAAAATTTCACAGTGATGTGAAATCTTGATGTGGATCTTTTTTCATTCATTATGGTAGGCTCCATATGGGGCCTTTCAATCTTTAAACTCATGTCCTTCAGTTCTGGCCTAGTATGATACTCCCCACTCCCCTTCAGCTGTTCTCGAAACCTGAAAGCCTAGCCAAGCTATCAACTGATCAGTCTTTTTATTTACTCTTACAAGAAGAGTAAACTTTTGGCATTCTCCCCAGTTCTCTGGGTCAAGTGAGAGTCTTATGAAGACTTTAGTCTATTTCCAACCCTAATTGTATCCTTCAATTGTAGAGGTTCTGATACCTCTAACCCCTCAGCCTTTCAGTTTCAGTAAGACAACTGCTTTTACAGCTAGATGCAAATATATAATAGCTCAAACAAAATAGTTTCTTTATTCTTTTTTCTTATTTTTTTTTTTGAGACGGAGTCTTGCTCTATTGCCCAGGCTGGAGTGCAGTGGCACTATCTCGGCTCACTGCAAGCTCCGCCTCCCGGGTTCACGCCATTCTCCTGCCTCAGCCTCCTGAGCAGCTGGGACTACAGGCGCCCGCCACCACGCCTGGCTAATTTTTTGTATTTTTAGTATAGACGGGGTTTCACTGAGTTAGCCAGGATGGTCTCGATCTCCTGACCTTGTGATCCACCCGCCTCGGCCTCCCAAAGTGCTGGGATTACAGGCATGAGCCACCGCACCCAGCCTATTTTTTCTTAAGTAACAGTATTAGTGGAAAAGTCAGCAAGACAGCCTCTTCCATTTAGTCCTTTAGAGACAGTAGCTCTTCTGTCTTCAACATGTGGCCTCTGAGAAGGTTACCATAGTGGTCATCTCCACTCCAGCCAGTGGGAAGAGGAAAAGAATATGGAGAAGTATGCACAGGAGATTTTTATGGGCCAGGCATAGGAATGGTGCATGTCACTTCCACTCACATTCTATTCTGTAGAACTCAGTCATATGGCTATGCCTAACCGCCAGGAGGGCCAGGAAAGAATCTAGGTATCTTCCTATGAAGAAGAGGAGAACAAGGATTTTAAAGAGCAACTGGCAGCCTCTGCCGCTTCAGCTCTCTGTGAAGTGAAATGGTATAAAGCACTTAGCTTTCTCTAGTCCAGGTCATTATTGCTGCTTTTCTACCTCCTATTGAGATTCCAGAATTTTGTCAACATCTTTTTTTTCTTCTTTATTGTTCTTTTTGTTTTGTGGGTTTAGGACTTACTCTTTTACTGTCATTTTAGTGAAATTTTGACTGGAAGCAGAGGTAAATATGCAGCTATATTGTTACTTAAGATATGTAGGCATAGTAAAATGACCAGAGAAAAACATCTCTGAGGTTCATACGGGTTTGTTGGCTGTAAATTTTCTATTGCTGAACTATATTATTAATACTTTTTAGTTATCAAAGAGAATGAAAAGAATTATGTATAGTGACATAGAAAATGCCTTTTTTTTTGAGACGGAGTCTTGCTCTGTCGCCCAGGCTGGAGTGCAGTGGCACGATCTCAGCTCAGTGCAAGCTCCCCCGCCCAGGTTCATGCCATTCTCCTGCCTCAGCCTCATGAGTAGCTGGGACTACAGGCGACTGCCACCACACCTGGCTAATTTTTTGTATTTTTAGTAGAGACGGGTTTCACTGTGTTAGCCAGGATGGTCTCCATCTCCTGACCTCGTGATCCACCTGCCTCAGCCTCCCAAACTGCTGGGATTACAGGTGTGAGCCACCGTGACCGGCCAGAAATTGCCTCTTATATATTAAATGGAAATAGAAAATTTCAGAACAGTTTTATAGTATGTTTATTTTTTTATATGTTTATAAATGTATTAATATTTTTTGAAAGATATACTTCTAAATTTAATGATCATTATTTGTCGGTAGTGGGACTGAGAAGGGTTTGAGAGATTGGGGAGGTTTTTGCTTTTAATTTTATTTATTTATGTATTTGTTCATTTATTTATTATTTTGAGATAGAGTCTTGCTCTGTTGCCCAGGCTGGAGTGCAGTGGTGTGATCTAGGCTCACTGCAACCTCGGCCTCCTGGGTTCAAGCGATTCTCCTGCCTCCCCGTCTCTAGTTGCTGGGATTAAAGGTGCATGCCACCACACCTGGCCAATTTTTGTATTTTTTCTTTTAGTAGAGATGGGGTTTTGCAATGTTGGTCAGGCTGGTCTCGAACTCCTGACCTCAAGAGATCCACCTGCCTCAGCCTTCCAAAGTGTTGGGATTACAGGCGTGAGTCACCGTGCCTGGCCTTTGCTTTTTATTTTATATATTTCAGTGATACTTAAATATTTTACATTGAGCATGTGTTTGAACCTTTTTTTGGTTACTAAAGAACAGGTAAAAGAACAGTCAGCAGGGCCAAATTCACTAGAAAAATCTAGTAAAATTAAGGCTGAAAATGTCTACTGTATTTGGAAATCAGAGGTCGTTATTGGTATGGGATAAGAAGTGATCTCAGTGAAGGAAATATGGGATATCAGGAAATAGATGTCATGGTTTAGGCTTTTTAAAAAAAGACCGTTCCAGATAAGGAGGGTGATTAAAGGAGGTTGTAGAGTCAAGGCAGCAGGATCTGATGTTTTGTGGAGGAGTTTTCTCCCCAATATCTAGGAACTTTTAGTATGTTTTATAACTTGTGGAAGAAGAATCCAGTAGAAAGAGAGGAAAATACAGAAAAGGGATGAATTCAAGCAGAATGATTTCAGAACTTCCCTCGTTTGTCTCATCTCTCCACTAATGATTAGGCTCCTTTGCAAGATTAAGAACCAGATAAAGTTTTTAGCAAGACCAATGTAGGAAGACATCCCCAAACTTTAGGTAAGAGGGCTTTGTTTAGATGGTCTTTGAAACTCCTTCCAGTCCTCACTTCTACAAGTCCAGTTTTATCTGAGTAGGTCCTAGATGTAAGCACGGATGTAACAGAAACAAACACCCTGCTTTAGTATGGCTTGAGCTAGGAATCCAGTCTTACTGGTGAGAGAGATTCGAATGAAGCATTTTTGTTTCTTTTGAGAAGCAAAGCATTATCCCAGTGTTGCATCAGAAAATCTGACAGAGTTAGCACTTCCTCCAGCTCCTTGTCAAGCTAAGAAGCTCTCATTTTCTTTACAAGTGCCTCTCCCTCCACTTTTCCCAAAGATACCAATTTAGAATGTGCTTTGCCAAGAATCAGTGTATTTCGGGAATCCATTTCTTCATCTCACTAGGGTTACAATGAGTCATGACTGTGACTCCATTCTTCCTTAGGAATCTGAAAGGTGGCAGATACTGAAGACCTCCAGTGCCAGCCCCTCCCCTTGAAAGGTTCTAGGCTCTGGGCTTCTAAGAGTGACTTCCTTCCCCATAGAATCGGAGTGTCATCTGGTATATGTTAGATAGAAACTTGGGGTGAAACACTCTCCTTTGAGGGATTTTAAATGCTATTGTAGCTGGGCATAAGATATTTGTGTATACAGATTTCTCCAGTCAAAGGATTTCTTTTTAAGAGATATCTTAAATTTTCTGGAGGCCACTTTGAATAGGAACGGTGGAGCATGATTATATCTGCCCTAGGAACTCTCCTAAGCTCTATCAAAGTACAGACTTAAACTCACACTTCTCATTCTGCTTCTTAACATTAGGCATCCTGGCATGCATATAAGGTCTAATTAAGTCTCCTGCTTCTTGGTCAGTGTCTTCCCCCTTCATACCCCCACTTTTGGGCCATTGAAGGGAAGGGAAATGGATGATAAGATAGGGCAGGAGAAACCAGTGTTTTGAGGTCCAGAGGATGCCAGCAACGATAATTCTTATGTGTTCTGTCAGGTTTCAAAGTGTGTCTGCTGAGAGGCTTGCTCAGCAAGTGTGAATTCCTGTCTTTTCACCCTATCCACCCATAGGTGACTCAGCCCACAGGAGAGCCAGCCACTAAGGTATCTACAGGCTGCATCTGAAAGATAAGAGAGTGAGACTTGACACAGAAGTAGGCAGAGCTTCTGAATACCGGTGTTAGCTAAGTTTCTTCAGCCTATGAAAATGAGCTGCCGTTTCTATAGGGCAGTGATTTGCTGTCACCTGGGAAGATACAGAGATCACTTATTCTAGACTAAGACCACTTTTCCCTTGAAATGCTCTTGTAAGGGGAAGAAAGGTAGCAGGCCTAGGTTAGTCCAAATAACAAGGGCCCTCAGTTCTCTTAAGCCCTAGAATATTTATCGGCCCTCTCCACATTTCCCAGTGTCATATCTTGCATTTTCATTCATTCAGGGTGGCCTACTGCAAATTGGTTTATGGTACCTGCTCTGACAATACCAGTGAAGTCCTCACTTGAAGGAAGTATAAATGAGAAACAAAGGTAGAGCTCAGTTATGGGAGGCTCCTTCATTATTTTTATGGTACCTGGGGACAATGGGAAAGAGGGATGTGGCCTGTCACTAAGAAGTCTCTGCTTTCTATCCCTCAAGCAACCCCATAATATTCTGCAGAGGCGCCTCATGGAAACCAACCTGTCTAAGCTCCGAAGCGGCCGTGTCCCTTGGGCCTCTAAGACGAACAAACTCAATCAGGCTAAGTCTGAGGGGCTAAAGAAGTCTGAGGAGGATGACATGATTTTGGTTTCTTGCCAGGTAATGTTCTGAGAACAGATTTTCCAGGGTTTTCTGGAAAGTAGGATGTGGGACCCTCTCCCCCTGACTTTATAGAGTATGGGTCTCATGGAATTCATAAGTAAGTTTTAAAAGGGCCATTCCATGCAACACTGGAAGTGTATGTGACATTTTGTATGCACGTGTGTCTTCATGGGAAGAAGGAACAAGGCTTTCATCAGACTTACAAATGGGTATGTGATTTTTAAAAAAAAGTTTAAGAGCTATTTGTTATGTAGCAGAAAACATCTAGAGTTTTTTGGGGGATCTTCTGTCAGCCCTGGATTCAGCAGGAACAAGAGCCAGTCAAAGGCAGACTTAGCAGTGGGTAAAGATGGGACACTATAACCCATAATTGGGAGGATGCTCTCCACCCCTGCCTTTCATATGACATCTGCTGCTTGCTGTCTGCATCTCCTTTCCCTTCTGCTTCTCTGGCTCTTGTTGAACAGTACATTTCCTCCCCACAGTGTGCTGGAAAGGATGTGAAAGCCTTGGTTGACACAGGCTGCCTATATAATCTCATCTCTTTGGCCTGTGTGGACAGATTGGGGTAAGTAGCCACTTGTACTGAGTGGAACTTAGATGTGAGTGTACTCTTCGCTTGACTCTATTTTATGGTTAGAGATGGTGAGCATCTCTACGGCAGCTCAAAGAGAAGTATGCAGAGTTCAGATCTCAGCTGGAACCAGAGTCCTTAGTAGAGGGGAGGAGTGGTGGGTTATCAGACAAGTGGAGAAATCAGTGAGCATGGAAACTTTTGGCTTTCTGTTAACTCCCCCTATTAAGTTTTGAGCAAAGACCTCTGAACTTGAATGAGAGAGCCTGAGACCTCTGGCTCATTGTGTGCCCTGCCCTGATCCACTAGACAGCAAATTAAAAGGAGCTGTCCTGTTGGTATACTCCATCCAGATGAATAAAAGTAGGGATGTGGTGGGCCTTAGCTTACTCAGAGTCTTTCTGGAGGATGCACTGCCTGTCCCCAAGAAACATCCATCAGAACTGAGAAGAGGACTGCAGCTGCTACTGCGCCTGGGCCTGGGCCTGGGCCTGGGCCATCATAAAGATGATTAGCCAGTAGTTTATTTTGTTTGTTTTGTGTGGTGGAGCCTCACTCTGTTGCCCAGGCTGGAGTGCAGTGGTGCAATCTCGGCTCACTGCAACCTCCGCCTCCTGGGCTCAAGTGATCCTCCTGCCTCAGCCTCCTGAGTAACTGGGACTACAGGTGTGCACCACCATGCCTGGCTAATTTTTTGTATTCTTTGTAGAGAAGGGGTTTTGCCATGTTGCCCAGGATGGTCTTCAACTCCTGGGCTCAAGCAATCTGCCCGCTTCAGCCTCCCAAAATGCTAGGATTACAGGTATGAGCCACTGCACCCAGCCCTGAGCTTTTTTTGTGGTGAAAAGATGAAGTATAGTGCAACATGATGGTTCCAGAAAGACTAATATGTCCTGGTGAATAATTAGGCAGCAGACTGCCATGATTCCAGAGGAATTAATAACCATCTGTAAAACTGCAATTATTTTTCTTTTGGATGGGCTATAACATCAAAAGAGAGGAAATAGAGGAAAGCAGAAGTATTGGCACAGAAAGTCCATAATTAAGTATTTATCCACCAACCCATAATAGCTCTGGTGCTAGCTATTACAATCAGCTTATGTAACATGTGAAACCTTGGTACTGTTTCTTTCCTTCCTCCCCTGCACAGACAAGTTAAATTAACAAGGATTTTCTCCGTGATATTCCTTGCTGATACGAATATCAGTGCACTTACCAAATAAGTACTTGCCTCCACTAACATTATAGTCTAAGACAGACTGATGAAGACAGAATGAAATAGGACAATGAGAAAATTAGACATTGAACAAAGCACCTTCTAAAATTAGGATTAACCTGACTTCTCTGGTATCTGTTACTCACAGATTGGTAAAAGGACGTGTTAACTCAATTGCCTCACACAATGATGGGGACAGTAGGATACAGAATAGGATTCTCTGAATATGTCAGTTCCCCTGTCTTCACCAATACACATAAGTGATGTAAGGTTTTTGAGAATGGGAGATGAGTCTTCAGTGTTTTTATATCCCCCTGGCATGTTTAGGACAAAGTGCTGAAACAACAAATGTAGGATGGCTAGCACTTTTTGGTAAATTAATCCCAGGAGATCCCTGGAGAATTCCAGTTGTAGGTCAGAAGGTAGGCATTGCAGGATTCTATCAGGAATCTCTGTCAAGGGGATTTTGGTATCTTCCTTTTTGGTGCAGACTCAAGGAGCTTGTCAAATCCCACAAGCATGAAGGAGAAAAGCTTTCTCTACCCCGGCATCTCAAAGTAGTGGGCCAGATTGAACACCTAGTGATCACACTGGGCTCTCTCTGCCTGGACTGCCCAGCAGCTGTGGTTGGTAAGCAGAATTGAGGGCGGGACCTATGGACCCTAACATAAACCCTCTCCCTACCCCCAACAAAACCTCATGAGATCTCATGCCTGTAAATATTGACTTTTTCAAAATGGTTCCCATTTTTCTGTACTATAGATCTTGTCCCAATTTTTGGTCTCCAAAGTACTAGATGGGCCCTGAGCTACATTCAAGACATGTTGAGAATCAATCAGTTAAACAAATGTGGAGGTCAGATAAAAAAAATTCAAGGAGCAAGAGGCCGAGTGCAGTGGCTCATGCCTATAATCCCAGCACTTTGGGAGGCCAAGGTGGACAGATCACCTGAGTTTAGGAGTTCAAGAACAGCCTGACCAACATGGAGAAACCCCATCTCTACTAAAAATACAAAATTAGCTGGGACTGGTGGCGCATGCCTTTAATCCCAGCTACTTGGGAGGCTGAGGTTGGAGAATTGCTTGGACCCGAGTGGTGGAGCAGAGATCGCGCCACTGCACTCCAGCCTGGCAACAAGAGTGCAACTCCATGCCAAAAAAAAAAGGAGCAAGAAAACACATTTTTATGTACAGGTGAAAATGTCCCCTGAGAGCTTTCCATGAACTAGAAACAGAGAGCAACTTACTCCTTTGCCATAAATCCTTTGATAATTTCCCACCACTTTCCACACTTCTCATACATTTTATTCTTGACTACTCCAAGTTATTGGTCTTTGTCTAAAGACCTTTGTCCTTTACAGTAAAAAAGACCTGAGTTTGCATCTTGGCTCTATTGCCTTGTAACTTTAATGATCTAGGAAAATTACTTAATACAACACATGCTTGACCACGTGCGGTGGCTCATGCCTATAATTCCAGCACTTTGGGAGGCCAAGGTGGGTGGATCACCTGGGGTCGGGAGTTCGAGAGAAGCCTGGCCAACATGGTGAAACCCTGTCTCTACTAAAAATACAAAAATTAGCTGAGTGTGGTGGTGGGCGCTGGTAATCCCAAATCTCCTGCTAAGGCAGGAGAATTGCTTGAACCTGGGAGGCAGAGGTTGCAGTGAACTGAGATTGCGCCACTGCACTCCAGCCTGGGCAACAAGAGCAAAACTCCATCTCAAAAAATAAAAAAGTAAAAATAACAAAAAAATAAAAATAACACATGCTCAATATATGCTTATTGGATGTTATTGGATGGATGGGTGGAACCTAATAGTGATTAGGCCGACTTCTAAGCAAGTGTGGAAATGGCTAAATCTTAATCATCTTTTTGTTTTATTAGATGACAATGAGAAGAACTTGTCCCTTGGTCTACAGACTCTCCGATCTCTGAAGGTAAGATTGACTCCTCTTACCCCTTGATACTTCCTCTCTGAGGCAGGTATCCTCTTACACAGGAACTCATAGTGGTATCACTGACAAGTTACCAGTGATTCTCCTGTTTTCAGTGCATCATAAACTTGGATAAGCACCGGCTGATCATGGGGAAGACAGACAAGGAAGAAATCCCTTTTGTGGAGACAGTCTCTTTGAATGAAGACAAGTGAGTGCCCAAGTGGGTCAGATCAAGTCACATCCATTTGTCATGAGCTGCGAGCAGGGCAGTGGTGGTTCTTAGACAGGACGTGGGGTTGTATCCTGTCTTTGGCTTCAGTTATACTACAAATCTACCCTTCCCCACACCCAGAGTTCACCATCCCATAAAACTCTGTAGTGCACACATCAGAATGAGCAATGGTCATGTCACACAGAGTGGTAGGGAAATGAGTGGCTTTGAAAGCAAAATTTTACTTGCCTTCAGCTTAACTTTTTCTGAATATGGCATTATTTCTTCTGATATTTATTTCTCATTTCAGCACTTCAGAAGCATAACTACAGCCTGCAGCATGTCTGCACATGTGCATACACACCGGGTCGACAGATTGAGAAAACTGGGTTTGAACCAAATGCCGTAGCAACTTGCTGTGGACCAAGTCCTTCCATTTAATAGAAGCTCTAGGGGCTCCTTCCCATTCAGACCTCTCTAGACTATAGTCTATGCTTAGAGATCTTGTCTGGTTATAGCCATTGTTTTTTACTCCTTTGATCACTTAATTTATAGACCTTTTTTGACACTGCCAGTCTCACTTGTGGCCTATTTCTCTGCTGCTTCCAGGAATTTGCTTTTATTAGTCAAGTATAGGGGCTGCCAGGTTCTGTGTCTCCATAGATATATTTGCTTCTTTTCCTATAGCTAAAATGTATAATAAACAGGAACCTGACCTTTACCTCCTTTCAGCTGTTTCAAACAGGTGCCAGGATACCTATGTCTTGGAATTAGAGTTTCTTCAAATTGATTAATTGATTTTTCAAGTATGGATTACGTGAAAGAGCCCAGGGACATCATCTATTACAGTTTAACTCTTTCATTTAAAGGTCCAGAGAGGCAAGTGAATTGTCTAAGTTCATATATTAGGTCAGTGACTGAAGGGACTGAGAACGCAGACCTGATTTCCAAGCCAGGACTCCCATGGTGCCTCATTTGTATTCAAGCCTTTAACAGGAGGGCAAAGAGGTGAGAATGTGTTTAAAAAAAAAAAAAAGAAAGAAAGAAAGAAAAGGGCAGAGCAGGGGAGGAATATGCTCTGGAGATGGATGCTAGGATGATTTGCATAGCTCTCCCTCCTGTGTGCCAAGCCCACTAAAATTTCCTTGCCCCAAACTGTCACATTTGGGCCCTCATCTTGGTGCCTAAAAACTGAGCATACAAAGATGAATGAAATGGTTTCTCATTGTGAACCTCTTGGAGGAAAGGAGGAACCACAGACAGAGGAATATTAATCCCTCTCTGAGATGGAATTGAAGGCTTAAGTAAATCAGAGTGTCACTGTCAGACGTTGATTACTCCCAAGATCCAATCAGCATTTCTGCCTATCCTGTTATGTGTCTGCCAAGGACTTAAGTAGCTGGAAACCAGATGTAGAGAAGGGGGCGGGTGGGGAAGAGCAAGGCCAGAACAGAAGGGAGTTGAATGAATAATCAACTGGTGGAGAGGCCTACCTAGATAAACCTTTCTGGGAGGTAGGGAATGACATTTTCAGGCAAGGAATTGAGACGTTCAATTCTGTCCTGGTACAAGGAAAGAGGCAGAGCAGGAGCCAACAATGTTAAAGACAACTTTTTATAACTGCCCAGTATTTCCTGACCCCTCTCAAAGGTTGGGGAGAATACAAGGTTTCTTGAAGCTTTTTGATTGGGGTATCACATTAGGCACGCAGGTGTCTGTAATGGAATCTCCCCTTCAGTTTGGTCATAGAAGTGCTTGGACAAGTCAGAAAAATAGCTAGCTGTGGATATCCCTTTAAGATATTCCCAAGTCTACCCTGCATCATAGCAGTAGTTCTCAGTGTTTTTGTTTAAAGGATCCCACTCTGAACTTTGCCAAGTACTACCAACTACCTTGTCTAGTGTTCAGCAACTGCTGCTACCAAACAACCCTTTGGAACTCTGAATGATTTGGGCCTCACAGAAGCTCCCTAAAGACTAGGAAGTTGGTGACCATCATTTGAACAACTACGCAGCCATACTGCAGTCAGTTTTCATGGGGTCATTCCCTAGGCCCCCCTCCTATCAGCCTCTACCTAAGGAAGCTAGATAGAAAGCTAAGCACAGCCACGGTTGGGAGGCTACATCTAAAGCTCAGCAGGGGTGATCCCCGGGTTACCAGCCTTCAGCACTCCCTCTGGCAACACCCCATTCTCTTACCTAGTGGGGACATGTACCTTTCCACTGAAGCCTCTCCATGCTCCTTCCCTACCTTTCACGGCAGTACTTTGGCCTGCCTCTTACCCTAGTACAAAGTTGAAGTAAAGTTCACCCTTTACTTCCCTACTTGAAAGTTCTACTCTGAGCCTTAACTCTTGGCCACAGTGAGGCATGTTGAAGGTTCCTTCTGGTTTATTCTTTTTTTTTTTTTTTTTGAGACGGAGTCTCACTCTGTCACCAGGCTGAGATGCAGTGGCGCGACCTTGGCTCACTGCAATCTCCACCTCCCGGGTTCAAACTATTCCCCTGCCTCAGCCTCTGGAGTAGCTGGGACTGCAGGCGCGTGGCACCACGTCGGCTTTTTTTGTGTGTGTGTGTGTGTGTATGTGTGTTTTAGCAGAGTTGGGGTTTCACCATGTTGGCCAGGATGGTCTTGATCTCCTGACCCCGTGATCTGCCCACCTTGGCTTCCCAAAGTGCTGGGATCACAGGCGTAAGCCACCACACCCGGCCCGTTCTGGTTTATTCTTATTTGGATTCCAATTCCCCATGGACTGCGTGAGGCCAGGAACTCTCAAGTTCTGGAAAGACATGACTGCTTCTGGCCCTTTGAGTTTACGATGATATGGTATCGGGGATGATTAGATAACTTTTAGTGATTCTTCTGGCCTCTGAAGATTAGTCAATAATTTTCTAGTTTTGGAATTGAAATAGTTGGGGTGAACTCAGCTTCAGATATAATCTCATTTAATGCAGTCAAAACATTTGAATTTTCTAACCAAATAATTATGTTTTAAATCCCAGGCTTGATAGAGGCTCCGAAAAATGTCTTGAGACAATTATGAGAAGTCTCGAGCTTCATTAACTTTCTTTAAATGCCTCCAAGTTGATTACTCTCCTAGCCCACATCTCCTTGATGTGCATGAGGAAGCACTGGGTCTAATTTTTTGGGGCTGGGAAGGTAAGAAGGTGAGGTCAGTTTTTCCCAGGAGTCCTAAAAAATTCTGGTACCTTAGATTGAGGGTGTGGGAGAAAGGGTGTCTACCCATGTCATAGTTCTGAAAATAGGCAGTAGCATGAAGTACCAAACCTGTCTCATTCGTTATTAGATGTCTATCTCAAATACAGGGAGTTTGAAAAATGTTGTTTTTATCATTTGATATTTCCATGCCTGACTCATTTGGGAAAATAACGTTTTCTGACTTTTTTCTATTTCCTTGCCCTGCACAGACCCTACCTGGTACAATTTTCTATTTCTTAGCTCAAAGTGTCTATACAATGGGTTGCCTGGTATGTCAGCTGCCCTCACTCTTGTGTAATAGAAATATATGTCCAGGCTGGGGACGTGGAGGAGGCGAACTGGATTCCTCCCTCCTCCTGTTGCCAGGCCTCTCTGCATTGGCACTTTATCGTTTCAGTGTTTCTGGCTGTGTTGGGTTTATTTGTGAGACTGATGTAACAATAAAGTGAAATCTTCCCCTCTCTGTGCTTGTCTGACAAAGTCTTTGTGTCAGGGCCCCAGTCTGGAAGGTGGGGGAGACCAGGTACAGTCTAATTGCATCAGCATTTTTCTCTTAGGGTCTTCTGTTCCTCCATTGCTACTGGCCCTTCAGGTGTCTCTTATTGACTGTATGTCGAGCAAATTAGTGAACCTCACTGAGCTTGGTTTTGTAATCTATAAAACAGAAGTAATAAAAGTGCTTATCTCACAGTGTCAAATGAGAAAATTCATATAGAGTGGTTGGCATATGGTAGTCACTCAGAGCTTCATATACAGGAACCATCTTTTATGGTGGGCCAGTCAACAGTCTGAGAGAACACTTCTAGAAAAGGAAATATAGCTGGACACTGTGGCTCACACCTGTAATCCCAGCACTCTGGAAGGCTGAGGCTGGAGGATTACTTGAGCCCAGGAGTTCAAGACCAGCCTGGACCACATAGCAAGACCCCTTCTCTACAATTTAAAAAAAAATTTTTTTTAAATTATACTTTAAGTTCTAGGGTACATGTGCACAACGTGCAGGTTTGTTACATATGTATACATGTGCCATGTTGGTGTGCTGTACTCATTAACTCGTCATTTACATTAGGTATATCTCCTAAAGCTATCCCTCCCCCCGTCCCCTCCCCACAATAGGCCCCGGTGTGTGATGTTCCCCTTCCTGTGTCCAAGTGATCTCATTGTTCAATTCCCACCTATGAGTGAGAACATGCGGTGTTTGGTTTTCTATTCTTGCGATAGTTTGCTGAGAATGATGGTTTCCAGCTGCATCCATGTCCCTACAAAGGACACAAACTCATCCTTTTTTATGGCTGCATAGTATTCTATAGTGTATATGTGCCACATTTTCTTAATCCAGTCTGTCACTGATGGACATTTGGGTTGATTCCAAGTCTTTGCTATTGTGAATAGTGCTGCAATAAACATACGTGTGCATGTGTCTTTATACAATTTTTTTTTTTTAATTAGCTGGGAGTGGTGGCGTGCACCTATAGTCCCAGCTACTCAAGAGACTGAGGCAGGAGGATCACTTGAACCCAGGAGGTCTAGGCTGCAGTGAGCCATGATTGAGCCACTGTACTCCAACCTGGGTGACAGGGCAAGACCCTGTCTCAAACAAACAAACAAAAGAAATATTTTTAGTTCAAACAAATAGGAGAGGTTTGGGAAGGGAAAGGGAAAGGGTTGAATGAACCTTAATATATAGTTAAAGTCATTATCCAAATGGCATCTCAAATAAATGTATTTTCAAGATAATGGAAACTTTTAAGTATTGATGTTTTTAATATGACTTAAACAGCATGGTTAAATAGTCAACAAGCAACATGCTTTCATTATGATGATGGTTATCACCATCTAGAATTATGGTTTAATTACTACTCAGAAGATACTGCCATTCCACCTCAAAAGATTTTGTTTTGTCAATTTATTCTGATGATAAAAAATGTCAAGTGGTTCACCTGCCTGGTCCTTAAGCAATGAGTGACAGAATCAATATTCATAATCATCTCAAAAGAATGAAACTAACAAATTAAAATTTACACAGAGTTAAGAATATATGCCGGGCGCGGTGGCTCACGCCTGTAATTCCAGAACTTTGGGAGGCCTAGGCGGGCAGATCACGAGGTCAGGAGATCAAGACTATCCTGGCTAACACGGTAAAACCCCGTCTCTACTAAAAATACAAAA